CCTTCAGGGCAAACCAGCCGGCCCCCACCAGTGCACCAGGCCTCTATCCTATATAGTAAAAGGGTAATATGCAAACTGACCCTAACAGCAGAAGGACTGGGAATGACTGGTCACTATGACACACACTGACCACCAGGGGGCAGACGCTCAATGCAGGAGCTGCCCCCTGGTGGTCAGTGCGCTCCCACAGGGGGAGCTCTGTTCATCCACAAGCCAGGCTGCCGGCTGCAAGTACAGCGGTGGTGGTGGGAGCCTCTCCTGCCTCCTCAGCAGCACTAAGGATGTCTGACTGCAGCTTAGGCCTTCTCCCCACTGGCAAGTGGACATCCCCCAAGGGCTGCCAGGCTGCCAGAGGGATGTCTGACTGCCAGCTTGGGCCTGATCCCCCAGGGAGCGGGCCTAAACCTGTAGGTGGACATCCTCCGAGGGGTTCCAGACTGCAAGCAGGCATAGGCCAGGCTGAGGGACCTCCCTGAGTGCACAAATTTTTGAAATATAACCCTGGGAAGGGGGGGTAGGAGGGGGAGAGAAAGGTCATATTCGTGGGGAATTGGCGTTATTCTAATAACTTCTCTTGTCTCTCTCTATAGAGGAAGCCTAGTGTATCATGTTTTGAAGTCAGCCTGTCAGGATGGGTAACAGAAGAACTGGGTAAATGGGTGAGGTACTGCCTGTGCTAGGTCCCTCTATTAGACAGTGTTCTGTGGACGAACCCATAGGGTCTACATGGACTTATGTAAGACATTTATAGAAATAGGCTCATATGTTGAGCCCTATCATCTGTGCTTTACTAATTGGAGAACCAGTAAAGCCAATGGTATCACTCAGTCTAAATCTGGAGGTCTGAGAACCAGGGAGCCCATGGTGTAACCCCCAGTCAGAGGCCAAAGGCCTGAGAATAAAGGGCAGCTGGTGTAAAGCCTAGAGTTTGAAGCCTTGAGAACCAGGAACTCCAATGTTCACGGGCAGGTATACATAGCCATCTCACACCTGGCTGGCAAGGCTCAGTGGTTTAGCTTCAACTATAAACCAGGGGTCACGGTTCTATTCTCTGTCAAGGCACATGCTGTGTTGCAAGAGGCATCTGATCAGTGATTCTCTCTCATCAGTGATGTTTCTATTATCCCTGTCTCTTCCTCTCTGAAATCCAAGATGTGTGTGAGTGTGTGTGTGTGTGTGTGTGTGTGTGTGTGTGTGTGTAAAGACGGACATCTCAGCCGAAGAAGACACAATTCATTCTTCTTTCCTCTTTCTATTCCTCTTGTTCCCCCAGAAATTGGAGGAGGCCCACCAGCACTGTAAGATCTCTTTACTCATTGACTGAATCCAAGGCTAGCCCCATCCATTCACACACAGTATTGTTTTACCAGCTACCTGGGCAACCCTTAGCGCTGTCAAGTTGACACATAAAATTAACCCCTCACAGTGACCCTAATCAAAGGGCACCCAAATGAAGACTCCAAGCTGAGGTTTCAGGGGCTGGTGCTTTTGGGTAGGGGGACCTTAGGCAAGAAGCTCAATTCCCCTGCAAAATGAGGATCATGGTGCTCACCCAGCTTTTATTTAAGGGCCATACACCCATGGCCCTTAGATAGGCAATTTCCAGTAATAGGCAGACTAGCCCATCAGCAAGGATTTACATAATAATAAATGGGGAAGTTGCTTCAGCTACCATTGTTGTCTCTAACAGTGTGTGCACAGCCCTGACCATTGCCAGAGCCCAAGGGTCTCCAGCCTTCTGGATTCCTTGTCCACACCTCTCTGCTAGTGAAGACAATAGGCAGTTTCCCACAATAGCTGGCATAGAGATACAAGGGACTTTTAGATATTGATCTTTTTTTAAAATATATTTTATTGATTTTTGAAGGAGAGGAAGGGAGAGGGATAGAGAGTTAGAAACATCGATGAGAGACACACATCGATTAGCTGCCTCCTGCACACCTCCCACTGGGGGTGTGCCTGCAACCAAGGTACATGCCCTTGAGCAGAATTGAACCTGGGACCTTTCAGTCCCCAGGCCAACCCTCCATCCACCGAGCCAAACCAGTTAGGGCTAGATATTGATCTTTATCCTGTTCTTCTGCTGAATTCACGCAGTTCAGGGGGTGTGGGTGTGGAGTCTGTAAGCTTTTCTCTAGAGCAGGGATCCTCAAACTTTTTAAACAGGGGGCCAGTTCACTGTCCCTCAGACCGTTGGAGGGCCGGACTATAGTTTAAAAAAAAACTATGAACAAATTCCTATGCACACTACACATATCTTATTTTGAAGTAAAAAAAACAAAATGGGAACAAATACAATATTTGTATTTGCATGTAGCCCGCGGGCCGTAGTTTGAGGACCCCTGCTCTAGAGATATCTAAGTTGTTTGCAAATATGGACAGTTCCTTCTTCCTTTCTATTTGTACGGCTTTTCTTTCTTGCATTGCCTTGTGCCTGATCCAAGGAGAAAGCCTTTCATCCAGTAGGCCACAGTGATGTTAGAGAAAAATAGAAGAGAATGATATTGGGGGACAGGCTTACTGAAGTGGGGACATGAGGGCCGTTGGTCATAAGGGAGATCATTGGGGGTGTGGTGAGTGAAGGGTGGCATGAAGGCAGGAATGGGACCATGGAGACTCGGTGTAGTGAGGGAAGGCACTTGTATCTGGGAAGGGTTCTCTGCTGAAGGCTCTGACTCTCAGATAACAGGAGTTGGCTGTTAAAGAAATAATCCCAATAAGATGAAGGGATGGAGACTGAGGTTTCTGATTGGATGTTAGCATTTTAGAAGGTGTATAAATTCCTCAGGTACCAGAGGAGAGATTCAGAGTCCTCCAGCTCTGCAGTCAGTGGTTCTTTCTCCACCAGGTCTGAGATCTGAGCCCCAGCCAACCCAGTCACAGCAGGTAAGTTATCGACCTCGGCTGAGGCAGCTGGCCTCACAGTGGCTCAGAGAACTTTCCTTTTTCTTTCTTTACAGACTAACAGATTGAAGGCTTTGATTTTGCCTCTAAGTGTAGTTTTGCCTGAATTCCAAACATTTAGATTTGTGCTTTGATTTATTTATAAATGTGTAACCAAGCCAATTTCACCACACACCCAAACTCCTATTGAAAATGTTTACCTGTTTGGGGGTTTCTTTCTGGACAGTTTAAATAGTTAGCATGTGCAGATTTGGTGGAATTTCAAACATTTGGATTTGTGCTTTGGTTTATTTTTAAATGTCTAACCAAGCTGATTCCCTGAACTCCCCACCTCCCTTCCTAATGAAAACATCTTAATTGTGGTTTTATTTCTGGAAATTTTAAATATTCAGTTTGTGTCCCTAGATTGGTCTGAAACTCTTCCCCAAAAAAGGTGGGTGTCAGCTTTCCTGCTCCGGAGTAACCACTTCCCAGTCAGACAGGAATGAAAGATGTGGGTGCTTCTGAGATGCTTGTCCTGGGCCCGCAGGGGAGAGCCATGGCTCTGCGGTCACCGAGCCCAGAGTGGGACTCATTAACCTGAGCCTCTCACCTTTGCCAGGCAGTGGCTTTGGCCCTGAGCTGATTCCTCTGATGGATGGGGAGTCAGTCAATGGGGCTCTAATGCTTGGCCTGACAAGGATGCTTTGTTCCCTAGACGTTTCTGCAGGATTTTTTTCTGAGCACCGTGAAGATGAGCATCCGGACCCCACCCACACTCCTGAGGCTGGCAGGGAGGAGCCTGCTGAGGGACCAGGCTGCAGCCATCGCAGCTCTGGAGTACCTGCCCGCTGAGTTCTTCAAACTACTGTTCGTTCAGGCCTGCCGTAGGAGAATGCGGAAGCCCCTGAAGGTTTTGGTGCAAGCCTGGCCCTTCCCTGTCCTCCCTCTGGGGAGCTTGATGAGGCTGCCTCCAGTCATGGTCTTAAAAGCGGTGTTGGAGGGGCTTGACGGTCTGCTTGCCCAAGAGGATCGCCCCAGGTAAGGCTGCTCCAAGTGCCTGGTAGGGTCCTGGGCATCCCAGAGACAGGGTGGGTCAGGGCATGTGAGGGCCTAAGGGTGGACCTGAAGTTTCTGACGGTGCCAGTGAGGCTCAGGGAGCCCTTGCACACTACAAAGCTCACTGTGGGAAGTGGAGGACTGCCTACGGGGCAGGGCCACCTGCAAAACCTGCTCTGCCTCCTCCCAGTGGTACTTAAAGGCACACGAAGTGCTGAGCAGGAGGGATGGAGGGGAAGGAGATGAGCAAAGCAAAGCAGAGGGAAGAGGAGAGCAACGGAGAAGCTGACCTTGGGACTCAAAGATGAAGCTCAGGGTGGGGTGGGAACTTATTGTTGCCTCAGCTCAGATGCTCAGCCTCATTCTGACCTGCCCTGGTTCTATTGATCTTTTTTGAAAAACATTTTTTTATTAATTTCAGAGAGGAAGGGATAGAGGTAGAAGCATCAATGATGAAAGAGAATCATCGATCTGCCCCCTCCTGCTCACACACACACACTGGGTATTGAGCCTGCAAACCAGGAATGTACCCTGACGGGGGATTGAACTGTGACCTCCTGGTTCATAGGTAGATGCTCAACCTCTGTGATACACTGCCCATAAATCATGTCAGCCAATGCCCTGTTGACCTGGAAGAATCTCAGCTCATGTCCTGCTTTCCCCACAGGAGGTGGAAACTTCGGGTGCTGGATTTAAGGAACAAGGATGTCAACCTCTGGAGAATGTGGTGTGGGCACAGCACCCAGGAGTGCTCTCAGACAGGACCAGTGGCTGTGCACTGCTCCAGCCCCAACATGGAGCACCCCTTGGCTCCCTTGGGGGTGTTCCTAGACCTTGACTTCATGAAATGGACGGGGTTAAGTTTTTTATGTACATCATCCAATGGACCCAGCAGAGAAAAGGGTTGGTACACCTGTGCTGCAAGATGCTGAGGTTTTTCGAATTGCCCTTCCAGAGGGCCAGGAAGGTCCTGGATAGGGTGCAGCTGGACTGCATCCAGGAGGTGCAAGTGGACTGCACCTGGGACCTGCCCACCCTGGGGACATTTGCTCTCTACCTGGGTCAGATGAGTAACCTGCAGACTCTCGCTCTCTGCCACATCAAGGTGTTAGCTGAGGGGGAGGACGAACAGGAGGAGGAGGAGGAAATGGAGGAGGAGGAGGAGGAAGTGCAGGAGGAAGAGGAGCAAGAGGAACAGAAGGAAAAGAAGCAGGCCTTGGAGGAGGAATATTTGTGGGAGAGGGAGAAAGAGGAGCAGGAGTGGGAGGATGAAGAGGACTGGGAGAGGGAGGAGCAGGAGTGGGAGAGGGAGGAGCAGGAAGAGCAGGGATACTTTTCCCAATTCCTCTCTCAGATGCTCAGGCTGCAGCACCTCAAGAAGCTCTACTTGGACTCTCCCTCCTTCCTCCGAGGCCGTCTGGACCAGATGCTCAGGTGAGCTGTGGAACAGAGGACGCAGCCCCAGAATGTCAAGGGAGTGGTCTTGTTTGCTGCTTTGAGGGTGGTGTCCTGTGAGCACCTTAGAGAATCATGTTTTAAAATCTGCCTGTCAGGAGGGGTAGCAGAACTGGCTCAATGAGTGACCCAGCGAGCTGGGGTCTGTGAATTCTTCCTTAGGGAGAGATGTCTAAGTGACCAGGACTTAGGAAGAGGGAGGGAGGAGGAAAAGCCACATCGGATGGAGCATTTCCAGACAGAAGCTCTGTGCCCACCGGCCATGTGAACACACGTGAGCCTGTCTCAGCTTCCCCATCTGTCAAAGGTGGTCCTGGGCTCCAGGAAGGTCAAGAGTAGAAAGGAAAGGCAGGATCCCGCTCCCTTAGCGTAAGGATTGCAAAGAGTAACAGGTGATTGCAGTGGAAGTCGCCTCTGCAGACTGGCTTCCCCAGTTGATGCTGCAGATTCTTCCTCTGGTCACTCTCTCCCTTTTCTTTAAATCCTCAGTGAAGGATATTTTTCCTTTGTTTTTTAGAGATTGAAATGGAGGGGAAGAAAGAGAGAGAAATAAGGATGAGAGAGAGAGAGAGAGAGAGAGAGAGAGAGAGAGAGAAGAGATGATTGGTTGCTCCTAGCACATGCCCCAACCCCAGCCTCGCATTGATGCTGCAAATGGGATCCGTGCCCTTGACCATGAATCAAACCTGAGACCCTTCAATCAAAAGTGAAAGCTCTATCCACTGAGTCAAACCAGCTAGGGCCAGGTTTGTTCCTTAGGCATTAGATGAAAGAGCCTCCTGTGGCCCAGATGTTTGGTGCCTAGAGCCAAGCAATGGACAGAAGGAAGCCTGCGTTGAGAGCATTCTTGGTTTTGACTCCCAAATTTACCATTCACGGATGCCTGCCCTTGACCTAGACCAGGGGTGGGCAAACTTTTTGACTCGAGGGCCACAATGGGTTCTTAAACTGGACCGGAGGGCCGGAACAAAAGCATGGATGGAGTGTTTGTGTGAACTAATATAAATTCAAAGTAAACATCATTACATAAAAGGGTACGGTCTTTTTTTTTTTTTAGTTTTATTCATTTCAAACTGGCCGTAGTTTGCCCACGGCTGTCCTAGACACTGTGAGGCTCTCTGAGCAGGCTCCCAGGGTTTCGGGGTTTTCCTTCTGTCCAGTCACCCTCCAGAGAGCAGTGCTCTGCTTGGCAGCTGAGGACAGGAAGCTCTGGAGAAGTCGTGAACTTGACCCAGCCTAAAAGAAGACTGGGCGTCCTGGGTGCTGGCCTTCATCACATTGTCAGGACAGCCCTGGGCTTGCACAAATTGTTCTTCCTCCACCTGGAAGCCCCCCTCTTTTTACTACCGCCGTCCCCAGGAACTAATCACTCCATCTCTCCCCAGGTGCCTGCAGACCCCCTTGGACAAACTCTCCATATGGCTTTGCTGGCAGCTGACGCAATCAGACCTGACACACCTGTTCCAGTGCCCGAACCTCAGGCAGCTGAAGTCCCTGCGTCTGTATGGCGCCAACCTCACTGATTTTAGTCCCGAGCCCCTCCGAGCTCTGCTGCAGGCAGTGGCACCCACACTCCAGGACCTGCGCCTGGATAACTGTGGGATGGTGGACTCCCAAGTCGAGGCCATCCTGCCTGTCCTGAGCTGCTGTCACCAGCTCAGGGACTTCACCATCTCTGAGAACCCCCTCTCCATGGCCACCGTGGAGAAGCTGCTGCACCACACAGCCGGGCTGCGCAGTTTAGAGCGAGAGCGGTACCCCGTCCCCCTGGAGTGTTACAGGACCCAGGAGACTGTGGACCAGGAGAGAGTTGCCCTGATTCAGGCTGAGCTCACAGGGATACTGAGGGAGTTAGGACAACCCAGGACCATCCATCTTGACACCAAGTACTTTAGCTCTGGGGACTTCTGTGATGTGGCATTTTCTTGGCATGGAGCCCGTGATGTGCCCCTGTAGTGACCCTGCTCACCAGGTGCACCTAACAAGGGCTTCCTTCTGGGCCCCTGGAACCTGAAACCTCAGACTGGGGTGCAGTATGTGGGGCCACTCACGTTTCATGTTCATGCTCAGTGTGAATGGGGAACGGGAGGGACCCAGCCCAGGTACAGGATTGCAGGGACAAAGGTTGGGGAGTTCATGGGACCTCAAAGGCAAAGTGTCCTACTATCAGAAACATGCATCTGGTTTGCTTGGGGAGGGGTGGGGATTTGGGCTCGAGGTGCATCTGTGGGAGTTAATCCTCGGGTGGATGGTTGTAAAGGAATCATCAGAAATAAAGTCAATTTCAAAGGCCACCGTCTGGTCCTCTGTCATGTATTAATCTTTCTCCACACTTTACACCTCAGTTACTGATGAAAAAAGGTGCCCAGGGCCCAGGATCAGACACTGGAACTGCTGGGATGCGGTTCGGCTGCAGGGCTCAGCACCATTTTATCACTCCCTCCAGGTTTTTCCTTCTCCCTGGGCACCTCTGACCTCATTGTGGCTGCTCAGTGGGTGGATACAATGCTACTTTCTATGTGGTCCACTACCCACTGAAATGAAGGGGACTAGCTGCTGGCTCTGAACCTGTATGTGAGTGGTCCTCATAGTGCTGCTGGTGAACCCACAACTCTCAAGAATTTTGCCAGGAGGGGTTCAGGGCACGAGGCAAGGCCCCAAGTTCCAGATGGGCTTGTCCACACAGCAGAGGAACAGAGCTGCTGGGGCCTCCTCGCCCATGCCTGTCAGCCCGGTGTTGAGGAATTAACCTGCTTGCAGCCAGGAAAATCATCCAAATTCCTTGGACCAAAATACTAAAGTTATTCAGGAACATAAGACTTTTCCTTAGCATTTTTTTACCACATCTTATCTAATAAAAGAGAAACATGCAAATTGACTGTACCTCCACTACACCCACAAGCCACACCCACCAGCCAATCAGGAGCGAGTATGCAAATAAACCCAACCAAGATGGCGGCGGCCACAGAGCTGGAGCGAACAGGATGTTTGGGTTGCCCCTGGCAATGGAGGAAGCCAAGCTTCCCGCCTGCCCTGGCCGGCTGTGGGCTCCGCTTAAGGAGGGTCTGGGAGCCTGGGTTGCCTGGGGCTGTGGACAGCTGGCAAACAGCCATCAGCCACTCACCCAGGCTAGCCAGGCACCCCAGTGGGGACCCCCACTCTGAAGGGGGTGTGGCCAGCCTGCAAACAGCCCTCAGCTTCTCACCCAGGCTGTCCACGCCCCATGGGGTGAAGGTCCCCTCTGGGGGGCTTGGCCAGCCTGCAAGCAGCCATGAGCCCCTCACCCAGGCTGGCCAGGCACCCCAGTGGGGACCCCCACCCTGAAGGGGGTGTGGCCAGCCTGCAAATAGCCCTCAGCCCCTCACCCAGGCTGGCCAGGCACCCCAGCGGGACCCCCACCCTGATCCGGGACACCCTTCAGGGCAAACCAGCACCAGGCCTCTATCCTATATAATAAAAGGGTAATATGCAAACTGACCCTAACAGCAGAAGGACTGGGAATGACTGGTCACTATGACACACACTGACAACCAGGGGGCAGAGAACTGATCTTGGGGGCAGAATTTCAAGAGGATGAGGCCCAGAAATCAGGATTTTAAAAAGATTTCCAGGTGATTCTAATGTGCAGCCAAGGTTGAGAACCACTGTGCTAAGGGGCTCCCATGGATAGAGGACATGCAAGAGTAGCTGGGCAATGTAAGAGGAGAAGTGGAAATCCTAAGAAAGAACCAAAAGGAAGAAATGCTAGAGATCACACACACACACACACACACACACACACACACACACACACAGAAAAACTGTAACATAAATTAAGAATGCCTTCAATGGGCTCGTCAGTAGACTAGACACAGCTGAGAAAAGAATCTCTGAGCTAGAAGATAAACATCAATAGAATCCTCAAAAAATAAAGAGCAAAGAGTATACAGATTGAAAAAAATTCAGAGAATATCCAAGGTCTGAGGGACAACTACAAAAGGTATAGTATAGGCATAACTGGAATACCAGAAGGAGAAAATGGAACGGAATAAATATTTGAAATAATAATGACTGAGAATGTTCCCAAATTAATGTCAGACATCAAAACGAGATCCAGGAAACTCAGAGTACCTCAAGCAAGATAAATGCCAAAGAAAACTATATCTAGGCGTATGGTCTTCAAACTAGAGAAAAACAAAGAGAAAGTAAGAACTCCTGAGGGAAGCCAGAGGGGAAAATACCTTACCTGTAAAGGAACAAAGACAAGAATTACCACATTGACAAGCTAAACTTCATTAATATTAATAACTCAGCTCTGCAAGAGACAATATCAAGAAATGAGAAGACAAGCCACAGACTGGGAGGAAATATTTGCAAAAGACACCTCTGGTAAATGACTGTTATCCAAAATACAGACTCTTAAAATTCAACAATAAGAAAAACAACCAATTAAAAGATGGGCCAAATACCTAATGACACCTAACCAAAGAAGATATGCAGTTGGAAAATAATCATATAAAGAGATATTCCATATCATGTGTCATCCAGGAAATGCCAATTAAGAAAACTGTGATACCGCTACATACATACTATTAAAATTGCCAGAATCAAGGTCATTGACAACATGAAATGCTACCAAGGATATGGAGGAACAGGAATTCTCATACATTGCTAGTGGTGATGCAAAATTGTACAGCACTTTGGAAGACAGTTTGATAGTTTCTTACAAAACTAAGTATATTCTTACCATATGACCCAATAATCATACATCTTAGTATTGCCCCAAAGGAGTTAAAACTTGTGTCAACAGAAAAAAACCTGCACAAGGATTTTTATAACAGCTTTATTCATAATTGCCAAAACTTGGAAACTACCAAAATATCCTTCAGTAGGTGAATGGATAAACAAACAAACTGCAGTACAACCCAATAATGGAATGTTATTCAGTGCTAAAAAGAAATAAGCTATCAAGCTATGAAAAGACATGGAGAAACCTTAAATGCTATTACTAAGTAAACAAAGCCAGTCTTAAATACACTCTTTGATTTCTGCTTCATGACCTTCTGGAAAAGGCAAAACTATGGAGACAGTAAAAAGATCAGTGAGTGTTAGGAGATGAAAGAGATGAATAGGCAGAGCACAGAAGAGTTTTAGGGCAGTGAAAACACTCTATGATATTTTAATGATAGATGTGTTATAAATTTGTCCAAATTCCTAGAATGTACAACACCAAGAGTGAACCCTGAGGTAAACCATGGACTTTGGGTGATTATGATGTTTCATCAATTATAACAAATTTAGCAATCTAATGGGGGATGTTGATAATGGGGTGACGCTATGAATATGTGGGGGCAGGGAATGTATGTGAAATCTCTATCTTTCTCTCAATTATTTTTGAAAACTTTAAATGCTAAGAAAATAAAGTCTTTAAAAAAAAAAGAAAGAAAAGTATATTCAGAAAAGTACAACTTTAGTCCTCTTCTTTTGATTTAAATTAAGGATTTAGTGCCCTATGAAGATATTTTCCCAACTTCGGTGGCACAGTTGGTTTTTTTTTAACATTGTATTTTTCAGGCTCTGTAAATACTCTTCTACAAAAAGGCACAGTCTAAATTTAGACTCTTAAAATTCAAGTAATAAATTTTAGTAATAAAAGATATATAAAAAATGAATGAAAACTCCATTAATTAGAGGCAAGATTTATTGCTGACCACAAATATCTCCCTAATGCCTTGTACAATACTTGGCTCATAGTGTGTTATCAATAAATATCTGTTAAATATCCTTGTTAGTTGTTCCCCGCTCCCCGCCCCCCCCCCCAAGACTCTCAGTCACTAATGGTTGCTCCTATTTAAATCCCCTTTAATCTTTCGTACTCAGCTAATCCTAATGTTAACAAAGGAATTCGAGAAGGCCCAGTTGCTGGGAAAAACAGTGAAAAGCTCTCATCAGTTCTACTGAGAACCCGCACTGGCTGCCCTGTGCTCCACCACGGAGGGATGAGCTCAGTGTCATCAAGATGGACAGAAGGCAAGCAGAGATGATGATGATTATGATGATGATGATGATGATGATGATGATGATGATGATAATGATGATGATGTCATTTTATAATCTTCATTTGCTAAGTGAGATGAATCAATTGAGCATCAACTTACAATGTACCAATAAGCAATGTATATAAAATGAAGTGTTAGAAAAATAAATTTATAAAACTGCAAATAGTGTTTAAAAAGGAAAAAGAAAACAAAGTTTCTATAAGAAAAAGAATCTTAATCTTAAATAGGAGATATAGCAGACAACTCTTTAGAATTTTTGAAAAGCTAGTAACTTAAATCCTAGCTAAGTGTCAAGTTCATCTACACCTAAAGTATACAGAATATAGAAAGATAAGTATAAATTAAGTACTGTAAAAATCGAAGTAAAAAGGATTATGAAAAGAATCAGATTATTAAATTTGGATAAACTCATAAAGCATAAACCATAAAATGAGTTGCAACTTGTAGGATATATCTGATATAAACAAAAGAAACAATTTAAGATGGAAATGGTAAACAATACAGTGTCCTAAAGAGTAGAGAAACTGATGACAGGTTATGGTTAAAGGCAGAAGCTTTTATTCTTTTTAGCTTTGTTATCAAATTCAAGAGTAATCAATTAGCCAGAACAAGTGTTTCCACAGATAAGAGAAAAGAAAACTCAATATAAAAGAGGCACAAAGGAATGGCACAAAATTCTTTAAGGAAGTGATGAGTTCCTTCATGGAGCCCTTCTCCACAAAAGAAGATCTCAGTTACATACAGAATATGAAAGTAACTGAATTATTGGCATTAAGAAAAATACAGTGAGTAACTCTTCATTAAATAACTACCATAACAAAAACTTGATGGAAAGAAACAAAATCTCTGTCATTTTATAGTTCAGAATACTGCTGTCCAAGGAAAATAAATGACTCTCCCAAGATCATATTTTATTCC